CTGAAGATCTCTGGTCCTAGCTTGTCTGATATTCGTGGAACCTTTGTGACCTTGGAGACTTGGGAGCATCTAAAACAGACTGGCATTCTGATTGCGAACTCCACAAGGAATTCGGACCGCACGTTTCTCTCTTATGGGAGCAATAAACCTTTGGTTGTTTGAGGAAAATTTACTGCTGAAATAAGAGTCGACAATAGAACGGCTGTAGCACAATTCTACGTTGTTGAGAAAGGACAAACTTGTCTATTGGGACGGGACGGCAAAACAGTTGCAACTGCTGAAAGTCGGTAGCAATCTCAACCATATCCAGGATATCGAACCGTTTGCTTCAATCAAAGACATCGAAGTTCATATGCACATGCAACCGGACGCGAAACCCGTTGGGCAACCCGTTAGGAGGTTGCCGATACCTCTTGAAGCAGAAGTCAACCGTAAGCTAGAGGACATGTTGAACCGTGACATCATCAAGCCAAAAACTGGTCCCACTACATGGGTCTGCCCGTTTGTGGTCGTTGCTCAAACTAACGGCGGGCTTCAGTTGTGCGTAGATCTTCGGCGAGTAAATCAAGCTGTTTTGCGAGAACGTCACCCAATGCCGGTAATTGATCAGATTCTTGCGAGGATCGGTAGCGGAGCGGTATGGAGTAAGTTAGATATAAAAGATTATTTTCTTCAAGTTATGGTTTCTGTACATTCTCGCGATATTCTCACATTCATTACGGACAAGGGTTTATTTAGATTTAAAAGATTCGGTCTAGAAACGGCACCGGAGATTCTCAAAAAGTGATCGATGAAATTCTATGCAGATGCGATGGTACACATTGGTATCTCGAAAGAGGCGTGCAGCTCAATCGTGACAAATGTCACTTTAGGGTAGAAGAAGTGGAGTTTCTCAGTAATAAAATTACTAGATCAGGCATAGCACCATCCGATACAAAGGTATTAGCAGTTATGGCTTTTCGTCCACCTGCGTGTGAAAGTGATGTTCGTAGTTTCTTAGGACTCGCAAACTACTTGTATATACCCCACCGAACTGTCAAAACCATAGGATTTTTTGATCTAGATAAAAATAATTTCCCTAGAATAGATCAGGCACGAACTAATTCATAACTTTTGCAAGCGGGTTCATGGCTTAGCTATGTAAATGTAACCCGCGAACACGGAGCCAGATGTCAGTAGTGTGCTTTGGACAGGAATGTTATTGTTTTTGCTATGGTCATCCATGTCGGTTTGTCGGTGTATACCCAACCTAGCAACCCTTGATGAACCACTTATGTCGTTTTCGTTTTTACTACAATACACCGGTATAGTGTAAGCAGCAATTAGCGCGAGTCATTGACAGCTCATCACCATTTGTTTGTAAACAAAGGTGCAACCGATAGCTACACCCTAAACAATTTTCGGTGTTCGGCGGTGTAGCACCGGTGTAGCTACATTGCAAAACCGAAAACGACATAAGAGAGCTGATCAGGAAGGGTATGACGTTTGTTTGGGAACCACGACACGAAAAGTCTTTTCTAGCGATAAAGAAAGCTATGGCAGATGTTAAGAATCTTGGCCCATAGGACAGCAGTGATTGCCGATGCCAGCTCAGCTGGGCTCGGAGCGATGCTGGTACAGATCGATGATTACGGACAACAAAGGGTTATTAGCTTTGTGTCAAAATCTTCAACAGAAACAGAAAAACGCTACGGTCACACGGAAAAGGAGGCCCTGGAATTGGTCTGGACGGTTGAGAAATTTCAGTTCTAGGAAGAAGATTTGAACTACTCACGGATTGTAAGTCTCTATATTAGTGTTTACGCCTCGATCTCGCGCTTGTCCCAGAATCGAAAGGTCGTTTTCGTTTTTGCGATGTAGCACCGGTGTAGTGTAAGCAGGAATATGTGCGAGTCTTTGACAGCTCAACATGATTTGTTGGTAAACAAAGGTGCATCCTATATCTACACCCTAAAATATTTCGGGGTACGGTAGTGTAGCACCGGTGTAGCTACACCGCAACAACGAAAACGATATTAGACTTCAGTGCTCGATTATTCTGTTGTTCATATTCGTGGTGATGAGAATGCTGCTGATGGTTTGTCGCGCCTATCCTGCACCACTATAGAACCTTTCGATTCAGCTGAAGAGATTGTTGTTCGGCATATTGCTGCAGTAGATGCAGAAACTGTCGCTGTTTATTGGGAAGAGCTGCTTTGCAGAACACGAGTAGATACAGAAATCATGAATATTTTCAAATGTCTGAAAGCTAACTCGGTAGACTTATTACCCACTGCTTATCGTATTATTTCCGCAGAGCTTTGTGACGTATGCGGAGTTCTTCTACGATGTGATCGCATAGTGATTCAACCGGGTTGCGCCAGCAGGTGATGGACATTGCTCATGATGGCCATCCTGGAATGAAAATGATGAAGTCTTTTCTCCGAACCGCAGTATGGTGGCCTAAACTAGATGCTGACGTTGAAACTTATGTGAAAAACTGTCGTGAATGTGTGTTGGTGACAACTCCAGAATTAATGCTCCGAAAAGACCTACCTTCTGGTCCTTGGGAGACATAGAAATTGAATATCTTGGACCACTTCCCGAAGGTCAGCACCTGCTCGTTGTAGTAGATAGCTACAGCCGATATTTGGAAGTGTGTGAAATGACATCTACAGACTCTAGTGACACCATCGGACGTCTTCGTGAGATGTTCAGCAGGTACGGCGTACGGCAGACAACGGTCCACAATTTGCGAGTGAGATTTCGAAGTCTTCAGAAAAAGAAGGGAAAGGTATATTCAGATGAAAAACGTCATGCTCAATCCAGTAGCATCCAAGAAGGTGACCGTGTCTTCTTAAAGAGAATGAAGAAAGACCACAAGTTGGAAGCAGTTTTTTCCCCGGAAGAGTTTGAAGTTGTAAGAAAAAGGGGATCTGACACAACCGTCCGGTCGTCAACCTCAGGAAAGGAATTCCGTCGTAATGTTACCCATTTGAGGAAGATTACAGGCAGTGGCGACCAGGTTGCTGACATCGAGGCGGAGGTTTCAACTTCAGAAGATGATCTGGAGCAGCTGGCGAACAGGACATTGAAGAGGGCTTTAGAAGATGATTTGTTGCGTGGTTCCAGTTCAGCTATGCCTCAAGAAGAGACTTCCAAACGCAAACGATGTGAACCCACAAAATTCAAGGACTATGTGCCATATTACATTCAAGAAACAAAAGGTGGGGTTGTAGGATCTGGCAGCACGGTTAGGGAGAGGATGTAGATGAGGGTTTTGACAACACGCCCAAGGGGGTATGGAGGAGGAGAGAGGGATGAGGAGGAAGAAGGATGGTTTGGTGTACGGGATGAAAACGCGAATAAAGTGAGTTCTGAATAGGAAACAAATTACCCGTGTAATATCCGATAAATCCAAAGAGACTTAACGAAACTAAAGTTACTAGTGCTGCCGAGGCCGGAGTATCATTCCCGAGCAGATCCCTGATGCTGGAAGTTAGGCAGAACGACTCCCGAAGATTTTGAAACTCCGGGTAGTTGCACAGGATGTGTTCGACGGTGTAGGGGTACCCCACAGATGATGCAGCTTCTGCAGGACGGCAGGCCACCATAGTTATAGTAGAGTTTGGTGTGCCCGAAGCCGCGAAATCACGCGTTGATCCAGGTTGACTTTCCGGATGAAGGCAGTTCTGTTGCGGAACCACTCGGCCTCCCATGCCGCTCGAATGGTCCGCATGATCCACCGTCTGACGTCCTGTAGGGGTACCTTGTCGGTGAGTCTGGGACCCGAAGTCCCGGCTCCGGCAAGGTGATCAGCAGACTCGTTACCTAGCACTCCGCAGTGGCCGGGAATCCATGGGTGTTTTGGTGCTTCCGAGGTGATCGCTTGAACGACGCTGTGTGAGTCGGTTAAGATAAGTATCGGTTTGTTGGCTGGCGTCGGCACGGAAGATCGCTGCAGCCTCGGCCGAGAAAACCAAGCACTGTGGAGAAGACTAGTACCGTCTCCGGAAATCCCGATATCTACTCCGTTTATCGATCGGGAGCCGTCGGTGTACCGGTGTACGTGGTCGGCATAGTTGGACCCAAGTAACTCGGCGTCCAATCTGCGCAGAATCACGGATGCATCCCCTGCTTTGAGGCGGTTCTTGATCCGATTGTCCAATTGGATTCGTGAAGAGTGTCAACTTTTCTCTCCATGCCAATGGACTTTAGCCACTGGGGGAGGTCGATGTCGGCGGCCGTGCGGAGGACTCTGTTCCCTTCGCCAAGGGAGGTCTTGGCGGAAAAGTCGGCGGCTTTTGTGGCAATATTTGAGTTTAAGCAGAACCGGAAAGGAAGAAGACCCGCTTCGATGAGAAAATGTAAACGAATTTCAGGTTTTGCCTCTCAGAATTCCATGAAACTTCGCATAATTACTTTGACTAATCATGTTTATATAACTAAATGCGTGAAAGAAACGATTCAAATAGTTGGAGATGCTTAACGGTAAATAGCAGGTTTAAAATGGAGATTTTATACGATAGATGAGGAAATTATAGTATAGAGTTAATAGTACGGCAGTGTGCAACTTCTATATAGAAAGTAGAAATTTTACAAAGTTGCTCAGTTTCAACTTTGCCTAAGAATGCATAAATATTTTTCTGCAAATATAAAAGTAATTTTTTTTTTCAATTTCAATGCCAATAAGAACCACCCTAGCATTAATTGACACCAAAATGAGGGCTTAACTGTAAGGAACAACTTTGCAGAAGACCCTTTTTTCTAACGCTTCAAAAATCAAAAGAACAGTATCTTTCGAAAGAACTGCTTATTTTTTAAACGGATTAATACTTCTGCCTAATGACCAATCCGATCAAACGTACTTCTCATTGCTGACATTTCTTCAAACCATACATCAAATGATGGGAAAATTCTATAGATAGAGAGTTCTTGCGAAATAAAACATAGCGAACAAATATCAATTGCACGGAATTTCACAAATCTCCTACTAACGATTGACATTCCACCAATTCCAGGTAACGTGGAAATCTTCCACGACGGCAAATGGGGCTCGGTGTGCGATGACGAGTGGGACTCGACCGAAGCGCAGGTAGTCTGCCAGCAGCTCGGTTACCCCGGCCACGTAAAGGCAACGCACAGTGGACACTTTGGCAAGGCGAAGCGTGAGTATCTATCATCCGCCGGCGTTTGCTTCAATACGCTTTTCCCGGTAGTAATTTCAAAATTCGTTCCATCCCACAAAGGAAAGTTTTGGATGGATAATCTGTTCTGCGGCGGCAAGGAAACGGAACTGGCCCATTGCCACTTCGACGGGTGGGGTCACAGCGATTGCGAGGCAAGCGAATCGGCCGGAGTCATCTGCAAGGATGCTGATGGTGCTGGATCGAGCACGACGGCTAAGCCTATCCCGGAGGAGTTTAAACCGAAAAAGATTCCGTTGATGAAGGATCTGGAGATGCGGCTGGCCGGAGGAAGGATTCCCAACGAAGGAAGAGTGGAGGTATGGTGTGGTTCGGGGGTTAGAACAATTAGTTTCCGTTGATGAATCGCCGGTACAAATGTCAGTAATTAAGCTCTACCGGTGTTTTTGTCCACAAGAGCACTTTTTGGTGGTCCCTCTCACATATAGCATTTCGTAGGTAAACATAACAATCAATCTCATTCGCCTTCCTACCCCCCTTATATTCCAGATTCGCTTCGCTGACAGTGGCACCGCTTGGGGAACAATTTGCGCTGACGGATGGTCACTGTTGGAGGGCAACGTGGTGTGCCGGCAGCTCGGGTTGGGTTATGCAAATGATGCCATTCAGACGGATTTTTTCGGTGGATCGAACCGAACTGAGATCCTGCTCAGTGGAACGGAATGCTACGGTAATGAGACCAACCTGGGGGAGTGCTTGCACCATGAAGTCGGATGGCACAGCAGCTGCAGCGAGCGGGGGACACACGTGGCAGCGGTAACTTGCGTGGAAACAATGGCCGATTTGGCCTTTGACCATGTGGAAATGGAACAATCGCTTCATCTGGAGGATCGATTGATGTATTTGCTGCAGTGCGCCATGGAGGAAAACTGCGTCGCTTCGCAGGCTTACGACATTCAACGGGACAATCCGAATTGGCACCTGGAGACGAGACGGTTGATGAAATTTACTGCCCGGGTGTTGAATACCGGGACGGCGGATTTCCGACCTCACATTCCGAAGCATCTGTGGGAGTGGCATCTGTGTCATATGTAAGGGTGTGATTTATGGGGCAAATGTGGGGTTGCTTATTCTGATTTTCGGCTTTTTTTTTTCTTCGGTCCTCCAGGCACTACCACAGCATGGAGGTGTTTGCTACGTTCGATATTTACAACGCGCAAGGGGTGAAGGTGGCCGAGGGTCATAAGGCGTCCTTTTGCTTGGAAGACAACCAGTGCCTTCCGGGAACGGAACCCAAATATGCTTGTGCCAACTATGGAGACCAAGGTGAGTGTTTAACACTTTAATGGGACAATGCCTTCAGACCGTCACGCAAAATTTATGGAAAATAACACATTTGTGTGCTGTATTGAATGGATGCTCCCTTAAAGTGACTTTAAACTGTTGAATAATGCTCCGATTTACCAATTTAAGGCATCTCGGTGAACTGCGCGGACATCTACCGCCACAACATCGACTGCCAGTGGGTGGACATCAGCGAGCTGGACTTTGGCCTCTACACCCTCCGGGTGGCGATCAATCCCGAGTTCAAGGTACCGGAGATGGGCTTCGATAACAATGCGGCCGTCTGTAGCTTGCTCTACACGGAAACCTACGCCCGGGCGTTTGACTGTAAAATTACGCGGCCCTAGGGCGAATGCGAAAGATTGCTACACGGAACGGAAAGGAAAATAAACGTACATTAAACAGTGTTGCTGTGCCTCTATTAAGTTTAATTGAGTTTGAAATTAGTTGTGGGTGGTGAAATTTCTGGTTTTCCATTGTGATGTCCCCCGGGGGGGTTTTGGATAGACAACAAAGTTAGGGACAAGGAACTAATTACGAAGCGAAGCGTGGAACCTCTGCTAATAGTGAGGGAATATGTCCAGGGTGGGGAGAAGGGCGTGAAAGCATGAAGCAATTATGCTGAAAATGGAAGAAATAAGCTTGTGGTAATTAAATGGTTTGTTAAACCACATTTTACCAGCGGGGATAGTGGTTCAGTGTGATAAGTGGTGCTGATAATAAATGGGTGCCTTTTAGCGGATCCTGAAGGTCAAATAGCTAAATAGTTTTAAACATTAACCCTTTAAATGAATGTGGAGTCTCCTGCTAGTCTGATCCCACCGTCGCTCTTCACAGGCACGGTATTTGGAGGGCCCTTAGTGGCACGGACGTGAACTCATCATGCAATAATTAAAACCCGATCGAACATCGTTCTCAGTAGTAACAACACACCTGGAAACCAACTCAAGTTGCCTGTTGATAGATACATAATGATTATACCTGTAATCGTAAACCAAACATGTACCTAGAAGCATTCTTCATTTAAGCTCCAAGTGAAGCCCTTGCTCCAGTGGCTACCTGTACAAAGACCAAGTCCATTCCCAGCTGGTATCAATTCCAATTTATCGGGACATGAAAACAGTCATAACTCTTCCGATGACTGATGACTGAACACACGCAATTCTCCGGGGAGGGTTGAACTCGCCCGACACGAACATGGCAGCAGGTCTTCTGCGCCCAGGAATAGGTAACACTTATTGGTTTTTCTCTTTCAATTTCATCGAACCATCATCGTCCATTAAGAGGCGACCCCAATGTACTTGCCACATATAAGTAGATAGTCGATGGCGCAGGACCTCGACGCTTTCGTTGATCAATTAGACTGTGGTCGTTGTAAATCAAATATTGACTTCTACGGTGAGAATCTTCTAGGAGCACCTGCTGCCGTAACACGTGTCACACCGATGCAATGGTCCTGTAATGAATGCATGCAATTTCATTTGGAAATTTTCGCTGAGCTCTGATGAATTGGATAATTATTCTATCACCTACCTCCAGTGAAAGGCACTGCTACCAAGGCATCGGGAATGTGGAAAATCAGCTCTTTTCCCACCTTCTTGATTCCGTCGCTCTGTGAATGGGTCGACTAATCGGCGCTATCCATTTTAGCCATTACCACCATTCTACCTCCGACTCATTATTTTAATTATTTTCGTGATAGAGATGTTAGACATCGATTGATGCGATAGGGCACGAGTACGATCAGACAAACTTGTTATCGGGTTCAACGACGTTATCGGATCGATCCTTTGACAGGTTATGTTTTATCAGTGCTTAACGAGTATTCGATAGGTATATTGGATAAGCTTGGCAGCTTATTAGCTTAGCTGAAAGTCATATAGATTACTAGCACCCTCCCCATATCGCGTGCACCACTGTGTTTTGATTACCATTCGCCTTTTAGACGCACAGTCACTCTTTGTAGGTACAGGGGTTGTGAGAATTATAGGGTCTAGAATTTTTTTTTCCAACTGTCGACTGTTGTAACTTCGTTGAATATTGTTAGAAGCATTCAGAAGCATTCGACTAGAAAACTAATCAAATTGCATGGTGTGGCAATGGAAGTTACCATATTGGTGGAGATATTCCGGGTTTCCGGAGGGCATGTCTAAATTGCTAAATTTGTGATGAGTTTTTCTCAGGGTGTCCGTTACTAATCTGTAATTTTTGTTCATACACAAAAAAAAAGAAGCATTTCCAAAGCGAATGACGCACCAAGAGCTAAAATCGGCTCAGAATCAACCGAGATATGAACATTTCCCTGGAATCGGTCCTGAGGGAGGGTTCTAAGTGCGGTCAGTTCTTTCATTCACTCAAAACATGCCATGTGACACCTGTTTATTCATGTTTTTTTTTACCAATAGGCTATCTATAGACTTTAAATGGATCATTGACCACGTTGGCCACTTCCGGAGCCACCGGAGTGCCCTAGGGGGAACCTGTACTATGCGACAAATTAATTTTTACACCAAAACATGTGTGCGAAACCTCTTTCTTCATGGTTTTTTACCAATAGGCTTTCTTTAGACTTTGAATGAATCATTGGCCACATTGGCCACTACCGGAACCACCGGAGTGCCCCCCGGGGAACCTGTAGTAGGGGACAAATTCATTTTTCAAAAATCATGCCGTGTGACACCTCTTTCTTCATAGGTTTTCATCAGTAGGATTTTTAAAGACTTTAATTTGATCATTGACCACATTGGCCACTTCCGAAACCACCAGGGTGCCCTCGGGGAACCTGTAGTAGGGGACAAATTCATTTTTACACCGAATTACGCCATGCGACATCTCTTTCTTCATGGTTTTTCATCCGTAGACTTTATTCAGACTTTGAATGGATCATTGACCACATTTTCCACTTCCGAAACAACCAGAGTGCCCTCGGGGGAACCTGTAGTAGGGGCCAAATTTTTTACACCTAAACATGTCGTGTGACACCTCTTTCTTCATGGTTTTTCATCAGTAGGATTTCTAAAGACTGTAAATGGATTATTGACCACATTGGCCACTTTCTAAACCACCGAAGTACCCCCGGGGAACCTGTAGTAGGGGACAAATTCATTTTGACACCAAAACATGCCGTGAGACACCTCTTTCTTCATGGCTTTCCAATCCGTAGACTTTATTCAGACTTTGAATGGATCATTCGCCACATTGGCCACTTTAGGAATCACCGAAGTGCCCCGGAGGAACCTGTAGTAGAGGAAAATTTCATTTTTACACCGAGTTACGCCATGCGACACCTCTTTCTTTATGGTTTTTCATCCGTAGGCTTTCTAAAGACTTAAAATGGACCACTTCCGGAACCACCGGAGTACCCCCGGCGGTATCTGTAGTAGGGAACAGTTGCATTTTTACACCCAAACATGCTGTGCGACAGCTCTGGTCTCTCATGGTTTTGCATCATTTTCTATAAAGATGAATTGGATCATTAATCACATTCGCCACCTCGGAACCAGCGGAATGCCGTCTGGGAAACCATGAGTAGGGGACAATTGGATTTTTACGCTGAACTATGGCATACGACAGCAGCCGAATGCTTCTTGAAGATTAAAAAGTTGAGGGTTGTGTCCAAGGCACGACCGCATTGTTGACGTAGAACTACGATAGCAACTCCTATCCCTACCTCCCCGTGGTACCGGCCGGGAACTGTGAGCAACCTTAGGGAAGATCGGGTAACCAACCCCGGTGGGAACTTTGGTCATAGACTGACAGGGATGGGAGGGGGGGGGGGGGGATTTGCTTCAGCAAGCCTGAGCGTCTGTTCTCCAGGAGAAGCGGCTCACAACAGCGTCTGTTCCCCATGTTAGGGGCGGCTGATCTACGTCCGAGTGCCAGTGAAAGACTCTAAGCACAACTGTGCACCCTGGTCCTCCGGAAAGTTAGGAGGTTGGTGTCAGGCCTTGCGAGCCAGCCGTAAAAAAGCATTGCAACGGAAAATCTGCAACAGAGGAATACGAACCGAGACCAACGGCAACGACCCCAGCGACGAAATAGGACTTGCGATTGGAAACTCGGCACATGGAACTGTCGATCTCTCAATTTCATCGGGAGCACCCGAATACCGCGGATTCGGCATCGTAGCGCTGCAGGAGGTGTGTTGGACAGGATCCATGGGGCGAACGTTTAGAGGTAATCATACCATCTACCAGAGTTGCGGCAACACACGTGAGCTGGGCACAGCTTTCATCGTGATGGGCGAAATGCAGAAGCGCGTGATCGGTTGGTGGCCGATCGACGAAAGAATGTGCAGGTTGAGGATCAAGGGCCGATTCTTCAACTTTAGCATAATCAACGTGCACAGCCCTCACTCCGGAAGCACTGATGCTGGCAAGGACGCATTTTACGCGCAGCTCGACCACGAGTACGATCGCTGCCCAAGCCACGACGTCAAGATCATCATAGGAGACCTAAACGCTCAGGTAGGCCAGGAGGAGGAATTCAGACCGACGATTGAAAAGTTCAGCGCCCACCAGCTGATGAACGGAAACGGCCTACGACTCATAGATTTCGCCGCCTCGAAGAACATGGTCATACGTAGCACCTTCTTCTAACACAGCCTCCCCTATCGTTACACCTGGACATCACCACAGCAGACGGAATCGCAAATCGACCACGTTCTGATTGATGGACGGCACTTCTCCGACATTATCGACGTCAGGATCTATCGTGGCGCTAACATCGACTCTGACCACAACCTGGTGATGGTCAAACTGCGCCCAAAACTTTCCGTCATCAGCAATGTACGGTACCGACGCCCGCCACGGTACAACCTAGAGCGACTGAAGCAACCGGATGTCGCATTAGCATACGCGCAAAATCTCGAGGCAGCGTTGCCAGAGGAGGGCGAGCTCGATGTGTCCCCTCTAGAGGACTGCTGGAGTACAGTAAAAGGAGCCATTACCGACGCAGCCTAGAGCACCATCGGGTACGTGGAAAGAAGTCGACGGAATGAATGGTTCCTCGAGGAGTGCAGAGCGATTTTGGAGGAGAAGAACGCAGCGCGGGCGGTAATGCTGCAGCATGGGAGAACGTGGAATGGCATAAACAGAAGCGGAAACAGCAGACCCGCATCTTTCGGGAGAAAAAACGCCGCCTGGAAGAAGCGGAGTGCGAGGAAATGGAACTGCTGTGCCGTTCCCAAGAAACACGGAAGTTCTACCAGAAGCTCAACGCATCCCGCAACGGCTTCGTGCCGCGAGTCGAAATGTGCAAGGATAAGGAAAGGAGCCTCTTGACGGACGGACGTGAGGTGATTAAAAAGTGGAAGCAGCACTTCGATGCGCACCTGAATGGCGAGGAGAACGTAGGCACGGGAGACCAGTGCAATGGAGGAAACGACTACGTCAGTGCAGCAGAGGACGAAACTGACCCAACTCCCACGCTGAGGGAAGTTAAGGATGCCATTCAGCTGCTCAAAAACAACAAAGCAGCTGGTAAGGATGGTATCGCAGCCGAACTCATCAAGATGGGCCCAGAAAAGTTGGCCACCTGCCTGCACCGGATGATAGTCAGGATCTGG